CAAAAGAGGAGTGGTAGAAGAGGTAAGAACAGTTGAGGTAAGAACAGTTGAGGAAGGAACAGTAACAGCTGGGGGTGGCAACGAAGGAATCACAGGCACGGGAGTTGAAAAAGAGGCTAGGGGTGTTTCATCTAAAACAGGCCCTAAATTTCCACTATTAAAACCGCTAATAAAAATCTGTTCAATGGACTCACGAGTATCACCAGGGTCAACGTCATCGTCAGGAATTACCATCGGGGTTTCAATGGATTCAGTAAGAGGAACGGGATGACAGAGATGCCTGTGCTTCGTCATCGGAAATTATGCGTCTTCGAGCTCGAGGCCTTGTCACCAAAGAGCCCCCATCTTCCTCTTCTTCGGAATCTTCTTCTTCAACGGTTTTTCTCTTCGACGAAGAACCCAAGACTATTTCTTGAGCTCTTTCCAAGGAGATACGGGTTCCTGAAGAGGCACGGGAAGCCGCAACTGCCTCGGCAGTAACTCCTCGAATAGCAAATCCTGATAAAAAGATGGATTGAAATTAGAGCCATAAAGAGAAACATATGCATCAAAGATGAAACAAAATAAGAAGCTCTTACCATGAGTCTTTACTTTCCTACCAAAACGGTTAGAAAGTGTCTTCCAAGACCTCCCATCCATTGGTGCGGTCTTCAGTAATCTGTCTACCCAGCCACGGAAATTGGGAACATCTCCCACAACTCCCATGGTTGCTAAAAAAAGGAAAAAGAGAAGCAAAATTAGAAAAGTTGATAAACTTGAAGGAAAAGTCACGAACAGGATAAAAGACTTACGTGCAAACTTCCACTTCTCAGGGAAGGGAACGTTATCTTCACCCACTAAACCAGCAGTGGGGGCAGCAACAAACCGGGCATACCAGCCACGGTCCTTGTCATCCTCAGGACTCACCAAAACCCTCTTACTCCTGGCTACTAGTGTGAAAACACCATTGCGAAAAAGCCTAGGGGAGTAAAGATGAATTAGGTGAGGGAAAATGAAGGGAACACCAGCAGAATTGGTTAAATGCCTTAACAGGCAACAACCCTCCATATGATTGGGCCAATTTGACCCAAACAAACGTCGAAGAAACGACAAAAATCAAGAATGACTGGGTCAATAGCTGGTTTAAATCCTAAGGTAAAAGGGTATGTATAAACAAAAGAAAACCTCATCAAGTAAGAAGTGATTCTCTGATTTGGGTTAGGAATAATGATAGGAAAGTCATCACTCCAATGGCAATCTTTGCGAACTACAGGAGCCAAAATTTCTGTAATCTGAGTGGGAAAAGCATCAGCACGATCTAAAGTAGAAACCTAATTCCTAAGAGATTCCCTGTCATGATAAAAAGACAATTACGTAGGGACTATCTCTTCTACTAAAGGCTCACGTAATGGTTCAGAAGGTTCTTTATCCCTAGAGGAAGATTTTTGAGAAAGGGAACCTCTGGTTCTAGAAGAAGGACCAGAACTAGGAGATAAAACAGAAGAGCCTCGTGCAGATCCCGAACATCGGTGCTTACCTCCCCTTCTGCCTCTACTAAGAGCACTAGGGAAGGTATCAACAATGGAAGCCCTTCTAGGGTTAGGATTCGATGAAGACATAATGAAAAAGGATAATACGAGGAAGAAACAAACAGAGATTTGAGAAATAGAGTGTTCAGTAAACTTTAAGAGGTAAAGACAAAGAAAGAAGTTATATTTATACTGATGAGCAAGGTCAAAGGAAAAAGTGCAATGATGGAAGGACCATAATAATGATAACTGACACTTCGTAAACAGGGAAGCTGAAAAGAAAGCCTAAAAAAGTGCTGCAAAATTGCAGAACCAATAGGAAGATGACACGTGTGAAACTCATTAAATGGAAGTGACAATTGAAGCGTCAATTCTGTCATAGCATTAATGGTGACAAAAATTCCCGTTTTAATGAAATCCACTTCCCAAATGTTCAATTGATGAATAAATAGCAAGTGGGGGGACTATCTGTATTGGGAAAATTTAGTTTACATATTAAAGTAGTATGGAGATGACGTGTCGTGACACGTAGACTGGTCAAATGGTCAAAGAATTTCAACCAGCCAAGAGGCACGAGTAGCAATGGATGCGAGCAAAGGCAAAGGAAGAGGCACGGGCAAACATTCAAAGGATTCAGCGTCCGTACCTATTCAAGAAATTTAAATTCAAGAATTAAGAGGAATCAAGGGAATGAATTTGACAACACATGGGAGTCCAAATACAGTATTTAATAAGCTTTAAATGCTAAAAACATTAGAGAATCTGTCTTGAATATAATGATTATGTAACGTAGCATTCAATGTCATTAATTGCCCATAATGGCCTTTTTATGACAAAGGTAAGACATACATCTCAACAATAACTATAAAAAGGAGAGGGCTGAACAATTGTAGGGATACGAAAGATCATCTGAGTATACTTTGGTTTACTTGTTTTATTATATGCTTGCTATCCAAATTACTTTCTTTTATACATTCTTGCGATTATCAGTAACCCGTGTTCTTCTAAATTATAGCTTTAGCCAAAATTCCATTTTTTGGTTAAACACCTTCTAAGAAAGAGACCTCAAGGCCAAGGAAATAGTAAACAGAACCAAGGTCTTTGATTCTGAATTGCTGATCTAAAAAGGCTTTCAAATCTGCAATTTCTTGACCATTATCACCAGCCAAAAGGATATCATCCACATAGACTACCAAAATAACAATGGAGGAGGCAGTGATTTTGGTGAATAAAGAGGAGTCATTCTTGCTAGGGGAGTAACCTCTAGAAAGGAGAGACTGGGAGAGCTTTGCAAACCATTGTCTAGAAGCCTGCTTTAGACCATAAAGTGATTTCTTCAATTTGCAAGCTAAAGGAGGATCAGAGAAAGAAGGGCCCACAATCAAGCCCAAAGTTATTTTTATGTACACCTCCTCATGGAGATCACCATGTAGGAAAGCATTGTTGCCATCCAATTGGTGGACTGCCCAACCATGTTTGACTGCTAAGGTGAGAAGGCACTTGACAGTTGTGACCTTGACAACTGGACTGAAAGTTTCAAAATAATCTATGCCCTCTTTGTGAGAATCACCTCTGATCACTAATCTTGCCTTGTATCTCTCAATTGAACCATCAGACCTTTGTTTGATTTTGTATACCCATTTGCATGGTATGGCCTTCTTGCTTGGAGGCAAAGGAACAATGTCCCAAGTTTGATTTGCCTCCAACGCTTGAAATTCTTTAACCATAGCATCCTGCCAGGCGGGATGAGGAGCTTCTTGATGGTAAAACTGAGGTTCATGCATATGAATCTCAGTAGAGGTAACCTTGGAATTCACATGACAAGTGGGAATGACTGTGTAGCAGACATAGTCCTGAAGATAGGTAGGTGTGGTGGAATCTCTAGTGGATCTCCTAAAGGACACAACAGAAGGAACAGTAGAAATGGTAGGAGAAGGAGTAGGAGAAGGGGAATGAGGAGCATGAGGAGAAGAACCTACTGGTGAAGCAGGTTGAACAACCTGAACAGGTGAAGGTGCAGATTTGTAGTAATGGGGGAAATGTCTGTGAAGGGATCAGGTGAAATGGGAAAAATAGAAGGAGGAGATGAAGAATGATAAGGGAAGGTATGTTCATGAAAAATGATATCCCTAGAAAATAGGATGGAATGAGATATAAGATTGAGCAACTTATACCCTTTCTTTCCTAAAGGATAACCTAGAAAAATACATGGAGATGCTCTAGGTTGAAATTTATCCCTACCCACCTTTTGCAAGGTAGCAAAGTAAAGACAACCAAAGGTTATAAGATGAGAATATGTAGGAGGATGACCATGAAGTATCTCAAAAGGTGACAAGTTGTGTAACACACTAGAGGGAAACCTATTGATCAGGTAGGTGGCAGTAAGAACACAATCACCCCAATATTTGACAGGTAGTTTAGATTGAAATAAAATAGCTCTTGATGTTTCCAAGAGATGTTTGTGTTTCCTCTCAACAACCCCATTTTATTGAGGAGTGTGGGGAATTGTCGTTTGGTGAAAAATCCCAGAATCAGCAAAATAGGATGAGATTTGAGAACTCGAGCCTAGCTCAAGTGCATTATCAGACCTAATTGTTTGAACTTTAGAGTTAAAATGATTCTGGACCATGGAAACAAAAGCTTTGATAATAGAAAATGCATTACTCTTACAAGAAAGTAAGTGTGTCCAGGTTACTCTTGAAAAATCATCAACAATAGTCGAGAAATACCTAAATACATTATATGTTCTTGTATGATAAGGACCCCATAGATCAATATGTACAAGTTGAAAGGAGTGAGTAGACTTGATAGTGCTATCAGGGAATGAGAGTCTTTGTTTCATAGCTAAGGGACAAACAGGACAAATAAATGACTGTTTTGAAGACAATTTATCAGAAAGAACTGAAATAGATTTCATTCTATTAAATGGCATATGCGCTAATCTTTGATGCTATAAAAGATCAGCTTTATTAATAGAAGAAACATGATTACAAGCAGTTGTACAAGCACTGTAACCACATTTAAGAGATGAAGATATAGCTGATATGGTATTTATATATGAAACAGACTATCCCACAATGAGATCTGAATGAATGATATACAACCCATTGGCAGCTCTACCAATTTCCAGTGGCCTATTCAGAGAAGGGGCCTGTATACAACAAGAGATATTGGTAAAGAGGGTTGTACATTGAAATTGATCAACCAACTGTGGTACAGAAATCAAATTGAACTGGAAAGAAGGAACTAAAAGTACATTTGCTAAAATGAGTTCATTACACAGTTTTAAAGAACCAGTGCAATTGACTTTTACTTTCTAACCATTTGGTAGTGTTACTAACTATGGAGAAGATAATGGTTAAATATTATGTAGGAGTTCTTTATGTGGGGTCATATAGTTGGTAGCTCCTGAATCTAGAATCCAAGTGTTAACCTTTAATTGAGAAACACAGCATAAAGCAACAGAATACACAGCAAAACTACAAAACACAACTAAAATGCTCCCAAAGCAAAAGAGGCAATGCTGGGATCCTGATTTCCAGTAGAAATTTGAGACTGTTGGAATAGACTCATGAGGTGTTGATACTGCTCTTTACTGAAACCATGGACTGAACTTCCAGGTAGAGCTTTAGGAGCTGAAAGAGAATCAATTTTAGGCTGAACACAGGCTACAGTCTTCTGACCTTTGGTAAATTTGAAGTCAGGAGGGAACCCATGCATCCAATAGCACTTGTCAAAAGAATGACCAGGTTTTCTACAATATTTGCACACAATGTTTTTCCTTTTATTCTCAAAACTTATTTTCTGAGAGTAAGACTTGTTTGTTGAAGTGTTTTGGACAGGAGTGGATTTGGCATGAAAGGAAGTTGATTCAGAAAGAAATGGAGATCCTGAAGCTTGAATTTCCCTTTGACTCTCATCATGTAGTAACATTGAATAAGCTTTACTCAAAGAAGGTAGAAGAATCATCATGAGAATGTTACTTCTAACATTGGAGTATGTTTCATTTAACCCAGTAAGAAAATGAATGAGCTTTTGTCCTTCACTACACTGTGGTTCTGCTCCACAGGTACAAGCTGGCCCAAACGAAGCAGTTTTTAACTCATCCCACAATTTTCTTAACCTAGTGTAATAACTAGCAATGTCACTATAACCCTGAGAGACTCCACCAATTTCTCTTTGAATTTGGTAGTATCTACTAGCATTAGATTGACCATATCTCTCCTCTATATCCTTCCAAAGATCCCTTGCAGTGTCACAGTGAAGTACACTGTCAGCAATATCCCTAGACACTGAATTACTCAACCATGCAAAGACTATGTCATTGCATCTTAGCCAATGATCATACATAGGAGAATCAGGAGATGGCTGAGTGATTCTCCCATTAACAATCCCAACCTTGTTCTTAGTAGATAGAGCAATAAGAATATTTTTTCTCCAAAATACATACCCAGTGCCAGAAAAGGGGACAGTTACCAGTGTAACTCCCGAATTATCTGATGCATGCACATACAACGGATGAGAAGGATCAAGTGAGGTGTTAAGGGGAATAACAGTAGAGGTAGGTGATGAGGTAGAAGTCGAGTCTGGGGCCATGCGTGTAATTCAAAGTTGAAATATAGATTAAAACTATCTGACATATACAGCATGGTCTCAAACCAAACACAGATATGAACAATTTTCAAAATTAGGGCACAAACTTGAACATTCTATCAAATACTGTGAGGAATCGATGAGATGTTACCGGAATTCCTCGATTGAGCTTATGGAAAGTAAAACCTGATCTCGCAGAGGCGAAATTTGCAGAAAACCCCAAATATTGTCTGAACTGTCGAAATCATCTGGGAAAGTCGTGATTGATGAAACCAAAGAAACTAAATCGATGAAATGATGATGAGCGTTGCGGACAACTCGGATCGATGCTCTGATACCATGTTAACCTATGAAATCAACGAGAAATTTGAGAATTGGATCGAGTGGAAAACCCTAGTCGTCTAAGTCGGTGAGAGAAAGGAATTGAGAGACGACAAAGTAAATAGAAATTGATCCATTGATTAAAAATAGAGTCAACAAACTCTATTTATATGTACAAATGAATGGCTAAAATGTAAAAGTAAAAACAGGCCCAATAAGGAAAGGCCCAATACTAGTAAGCTCAACTAGGATCTGGATTTTGTATTAAGGCTCTATCATTCTTCAAGGCACGACAATATCTAGAAGCCCCTAGTGATCATAGGAAACTAAGTCTCATACGGTAATATCTCGATAGATCAGATGCTCGCCTCGTGCATACTTTACATCTTGGATCGTCTGTCCAACATGACCGAAAAATATACCTTGTATGTCCATCCTGTACGTGTACACATTTTTTTTAAGTTCACAATTAAATATTATTCTATAATTAAGAAATGTTATACACGTAAATTATTATATATATATATATATATATATATAGATAATCAAATGATTTTTTTACATTTTTTTCTTTTGAATTGTACATATCTTTCTACAATCTTTACTAGACAACAAGATCCAGATTAACACTCTAAGAGTGCCCATTGGGATGATAAAACATGTAATAACTTGGTAATTTCTTTCAGCGCATTGCAGAAAACTGATTCCTCTTCCATTGGAGAGTTTGGTCCACGTCTTCTGTTCCCTTAGTACCGCTACTACTCCATGGTAGCTTGAACTTGGCCATTGTTCTCTTCCTTGCAGCAACTCCAATTTTGTCTCCATAGTTCTGCAAAAAGGGTAACAAATGCGAGAATCTTATTAACAAGAAGCTTTCTTTCAATAAAATTTTATCTAATTACATTGGGAGAAAGAGAAAATAGAATCCGACTCACACATATCTTTGCGTGTGAAAGACCTGACAAAATATCACTAGACTATAAGTGTTGGTTGTATAAATTAAAGATAAGGGCGGATATAGCTACCACAACTTAGATGTATAGGTAAAAGATCACCAAAGTTCATTAAGTATTACGTTTTAAACTCATAGTTTTAGTTGTGTAATGAGTTTATAGGTAAAAATATAAAAATTAAAACCTATAAGTTGAAATCCTCGATCTGAAGCTATTGAAGCTTAAAAAGATCGGTAGTAACAAGGAGAAAATGAAGATTAAGTCATACCTTGTGGCATGTGCCTTCTAAAACATCACAAAATGGAAAATCAGTTGGGCAGCATAAATTTGATCCCTCACAGCAAACACCATTTTCAAGAGGACAACATCCATGAACTAAGCACATGCCATAGAAATCTACACCACAGCAACATGTTTGATGTTCTGGACAGTAATATAAGCCGTCTTCACATTCATTTGATTTTGGAGAAGGCGGTGGAGAAACCGGAGGGGATGGTTGCGCAGCTAAGATAAAGAAAAGAACAAAACCAAGAAGAAGAAAAAGGTGGGCCTTTTGTGTATTCCCCATTTTTGAGTGCAATTTGTCCTAAAATTTTATCCGTTGATACATATAAAAGTACTGGATATTTATTTCAACAAGATTGTGATGGACGTTGTTATCGTTACCCCCAAAACATCTCTCGTCCACCCCTTATTTATCAATTATCAACAAGTCGATCGGATATTAGCACTGGGGTTTTCTGAGTAGAGCATCTCGTTTCTACGTAAACTAATAATTTAGGTCATTAGTAGGCAACATTGCAATGCTACTTTTTTATTATCTCTCAGTTAGATGTGACATCTTGATATCATTTTCACACTTTCCAACTATTATTTCAAGCATACATTTAACAAACTAAAGCACAATTTTTTTTGTGGTTTTTGGTTAAGAAAATTTCCTTTCAACGCATTGCAGCTATATGATTTCTCTTCCATTTCAGAGTTTGGTCCCTTTCCTCTGTTGCTTCAGTGATAGCTCTCCATGGTAACTTGTGTTTGGCCATTCTTTTCTTCCTTGCTGCCACTCCAATAGTGTCTCGGTAATCCTGCAAAAAGGCAAATAAAAATCAAACGAATAAGATATATTTAACTTTCTTAAGAGTTGTTTAAGTTGTATTTCCTTCACTTGTATTCCCTGTATTTTTTGGTAATCAAAATTTTGGTCCTTCTGCTATACATTGAATATTGAACATTTGGCAGGGAAAACTTCTACATAGCGCTTTACATGAACTCATACTAGCTCGGGTAGTAGGTTTTAGATACCAACAAATATCTAAAGCAAAATAAATTACTTAGGCCTTGTACTTCTAGTTTCTAATGATTGAGCAAATTTATGCAACCTTAATATCTTTCAAAAACAAAAAGTTGGATTTTTCCCTTAAGAAAGTGCTGTAAGAAAAGTCATACCTTGAGGCAGAGACCCTCATAAACATCACAAATGGGATAGTCAGCTGGGCAACAAAATTCTGATCCATGACAGCAAACACCATTCTCGTACGGACAGCATCCCTGAATGAAGCATATGCCAAAGAAGTACAACTCACAGCAGCATGTTTGATCTTCTGGACAGTAATAAAATTCTCCACATTCACTTGGTTTTGGAGAAGGCGGTGGAGGAGGCGGAGGGGATGGTGGAGGAGGTGGTGGAACGGCTGGAGACGGATAAGGAGATGGCGCTGAAGACGCTTCCTTTGTTGGATATGAAGCCAATGAATTAATGGCACAAACCCCATATGGCAAATAAGTGTTCCTTCTTATATATGCATACCCCTCCATTCCCCAAGATGTACCCCATGAATTCTTGATTATCCAATAGTCATCATCTCCTTTAGAACCATATCCTACTATTAGTACTGCATGGGATAAGTCATCTGGATTGCTAGAGCATTCTCCATCATAGATTCCCTGCATTGACCACAGAACAGAATAGAAAGAAATATCACATCATTTTAGGATTATTGACACGTGAAAAAAAATGGAGTAATAGAAAATAGTTACCCCTCTATATAGTTGAAAATCAAGGCTGCTTCCGTCAATGCCTACACTAACAGGTTGTTGTGCAACAGCACAAAGAAGGGCATTCTCGTCCTCTGGAACATCTTGGTATCCATCAATTGTTACAACCTTACGGTTCACCTGTTGAGAAAATATTTAGACATTGATCAAGTTATTCAAGAAGGAAAATATTTGGACACTGGATATAAGACTTGATATGAAATTAATCATCACATGCCTTATCGTAGTTGCAACGGCCTTGAGAGGTAGTGTATGGATAATCAGCTTCTGAATCAATGCCACCATTATTCATCACCCATTCAAAAGCAGGGTCCATAAGTCCACCATCACAGCCAGTATTGTATGAGTTGTCACAATTGATAAGTTCTTGTTCAGAAAGGCTAATAAGTTCACCAGTGACTATAGCATTTAGTCCCTCCATTGCTCCACATGCCGAGAATGCCCAGCAAGCTCCTGCAAAAGTTATGCAGAGATCAAATATATTACTCTAATGATGTACATAACTGCATATGCATTGATCCCTAGTGGCGAAGCCATGAATACATACTAGGGGATTCAAAAAATTATTAGAATGTCACACCTAGGATAATCTAAAGCAATTTTTGTAATTCATTTGACACAACACTAGAATACTTACTTGTGTCAAGGGAAGTCAACAGTTTATATATAACAAATCATTTTCCCCTTATTTGTGCAGTATAATTTTCCGGCAAAGGGTTGCCAATGCCAACACCTAGCTCCACCCCTTCTGTTATTGTAGTAATATTGCAGAGAAGGAAAATGTCCCATAGAGTTTTGGACCTTTTGGTACTATTGACTTGTGACTTGAGCCAACAAGAATTTCTATGAGGACCTTAGGTAAGACAAATTTGCAGATTTAACTCACTTGGTTCCTTTTGTCTGGATTTCATAATGCCTATTAGCTGCCTAGCAGTTAAACATGTATGGAGTGTAAACCAGCCCATCTTTGGTGTGGTTACCCAATAATGTACATGTATGAAATGCAATGGGACAATATCTAACTGTATTTAAATGAAGATAAACATCTGCTGAACAGAGTAGAAATAGTGGGTTTGTGTCGGTTACAGTCATGCTTAAATCATAAAGAAGTATTCACCATCTTTGTCTTGCCTTTTTTAGTTAAAGAAGTAGATCGAAAGTTTGATAGATTCAATAACACATCTTTCAGATATGACCTAGTTATCAATATTTCTTCTATGAATATCATGAATAATGAATGCACCGTTATGGGCTATACAGGAAAACATAACTACCATTAGTTTCTGTCGTAGCCTATTCAAATCATTCTACTCACCATTTTCCCTCAAACCAAAGACCTACTAGAAACATGTATCCCTTTTTTTTCCTTCTTCCTGTCAGTACTTTATGCTGTAAATTCCTCAACCACATCCAACCTTTAAGCAAAGGAAATTACTAATACTACAAAAACACTAAAAAGAGAAAGGAAGGGATTTTCTCCAAATCGAATATCCAAACATTTTGCACCACTATAAGCAAGAAAACTAAGTAAGGGTATCACATTGTTGAATAAAAAATGGCAAGAAAACACAAGTAAGGTTACCACATTGATCTTGATCCTTGACCTCAGTGACAGCCCCATGTTTTCTCCAATCCTTTGATGGAGGAACATCACATGAAATTGTTGTAGGCTTTCTCTCCACACTCCTCATTTGAATAGTCTTTCTCTTGTTAAAGGGTATCTTAATCTTTGAAGTATGAACTTGCTTGAAATCCTCATTGCTCATATCAGCAAACTTGGTCAGACCAACTAAATGGTCTGAATCTGAAATCCTCTTTGAGTTATTTTCCACTATATACTTCACATTCTTTTTAAAAATCTCCAACCTCAGTTCTTCCTCTTTCTCATTCTTGTAAACTTTCCCATGCTTCTGTTTCCATTCTTGGAAAATTTGGAATACTCTTTCTTCTAAGAGAAACTCAGTTGGTCTGTCTAGTATTGGAAAATCAGTAGTAAAAGCAGAAACTTGAGAGTATAATGCAGCTAAGATCAAGAAAACTGGGAAAAGAAGGAAGTGTCGATAGGGAAACTGTGTGCTTCCCATTTTTCAGTAACATTAACCAGTTAATGAATTTGTGATAATATATGCCTACTCTCATTAATTTATAACATTAGAAAAAATGACGTTTAAGGTTCTCAATAACTTAACTCGAGAAACACATGAAAAACTGTGACTAACTTTTTAACTGTAGTTTAAATTGACAAATGATGGAATTGTTTAAGCAGGATGAGGACTGGTAGAGTGGTAGGTGTGGGTATGTAAGACACATTTTCTGGTAGGTATGATAAATGCACTCTAATTATGTACGGGTGGGAAAACAGACACTTGTTTTTGTAACTCTGTGGGGCCGATCATGCTGGGATTACCGACGTGGCAAAATAACTAGTAAAGAAATAATTTCTCAAAACAAAGTCTTTTGGTGTATTGGTCTATTGGAACGAGTAGCATTTGCAACTGTAGATTAAGACAGGAAAATTGACTTTTATATAGTATTGAATATTCCAACATGTATGTGCACGCATGTTGGTAGTGTATAAGTATTTTTTTTTCCTTCAAAAGTGACTGTAAGAAGTTTCTCCAGAAATCGAAGTTGTGAGGGTAGTTTCTTATTGTAAACTAAAAAATTTCTAAAAAGAAAATCTCTTGGACCCATATCTTGGCAGGTCATAAAGTCAATCAGTGGATAATTTGAAAGGACAAGTAGTCTTTAACCTTATCCACATGTTTGCTTTAAAAAGGAAGTAAGGCCACCTCTGAAGTTTGAGAACCAGCTGGAACTTGGATTGCTGACTAATCTAATATCCTATCAAAGAAGATGAACTTGCGGGTAATATACTGTATGTAAGACTGACAGGCTTCGAATGAGGCTTTGAAGAAAGAGATAGAGGTTCTCAAGAGCGGATCTTCAAGAGCAAAGACCGGAGAACAGTAAGAGCTGATTTGTCTCAATTAGGCTTTTGACGGAGCGGAGAAAGATCTTATTTTAATTTAGGGGATCCCTCTATAAAGAATAAGGGAGAAGATCTACAACCTAGCAAACTAGCCTCCTTCTTACTAGCATTTTTCCAGGTCCTCTCGAACCAGCATCTTCCAACCTGGTGCTCTCACTTCTCGGACTAGTACAGGTCCAAACCAAAGCCAAAGCTCCAAAAGTCTTAAAAGTGCTCTCCGAACCGTGCTGGATAGTCACCCATCACACGGCTCTCAAACCCAACCTGTGGTGGACCCCGGGAGACAAAGTCAAAACGCAACATCCTTTGCCCCATACTTTGAGATGCTCCTCCCCGCCAATCAAGGAGCGAGGCTGCTCGTGATAGGCAACGCTTTAAGCCGCTATCGTTCGGTTCGGATAAGTCAAGTTCCTTCGGTCGCTTCGCTCAGGCGGTCTTCCCTTATCTTCCCTAACGTTCAGAGTAGTTATGGTTTGAGATGAGAAAGGAGCACCGGCCGAACGCAATGAATGAATAAGAAATTGACAGAACCGAGTCAAAATGAGTCTGTGCCTCTTAAAAAGATGAGCAAATTTTAATGGCTGAACCATAATAGTGTCTCTGGAGCCACGTGGTTGTGATGCTATATAAATTTGGGATTTTTTTTTTCTTTTATAAATTTCACCATCCCGGGGGTTTAGGCAGACCCAACCTGTAAATTAGCAACCAATATGAGAAGACATGGAGGAAGGGGACATAGCGCCTAACCTCTCCATCTACAACAATCAAGTTAGGCATTCCTAACTTTATACAAAAAGTTACACCCGAAATATTGGAAGTGGTGAAAACACCTATGGCTTGGTAGTTCCCAGTTACATTTGATCCTAGTAAGTAAAAATTTGAAATTTAAGTTACATGCATTAACAACATAGGGATTGCTCACACGGTCAGCACAACCGCTCACGACCCCAGAATTAGGAGCAATAACTCTAATAAAGAAAATTATTTTAAATAAAAAAAAAAGGTTGACAGGACCGTAGCATGGTGAATTAGCGCGCGAGCTGTCAGTTTTCCTATATTCTTCTTTTTTTTGGGCGAATGATTACTCATCTCCTCATTGATTAACTTTACTTTCCTTTTCTTCTTAGCGGAGCGTGGTGGGGGCAGGGAGTTTTTTTTATTGACCTTTGATATAGCTAAAGACGTGTGTGCATATCCCCCACATTCCATTCTCCACCACACACACTGCACACATAACAAAAATGAATTTAAATAAATATACATGAACGAAGAAAATCAGTATTTGACTAACAATACTGATCGACTACATAATCACAATAATAATAATAATAATAATAATAATAATAATAATAATTACTAACATCTTCATGCAACTTTATGCTGTAGTCTGCTAGGCAATTGGAGGTAGCTAGTGAACTTTAGTGTAACATTTGATCAGTTTGGTAATTGTCTCCCCACACTATGAGCTTTTCTGTATCTCCTATTCTTTCATTAGATTGTGCAAAGCAAATGAGATACCATATTTCTATTAGAAGTTCTTTTCAAAGTAAACTTTGACCAACTAGTAATTGAAAAAAAAGTTATACTCCCATGATTATACACTCTTAGTTGTCAGTTGTCACAGCCAAAGAAATTACTACATATGAAGTATTATAAATCAACAACTTTTTCAAGAATGTACACAACATAACACTCGAAAGCCATAGTCGTTTAATTACTACATAAGATGAAGAAGAAGAAGAAGAATTCTTATGTAGTAATTTCTAACAAGTATCCGGATCCACTACATAACTCTTTTTCCAGCTCTTTAATTTCAAGAAATTCACTTTGCTTCAGCAAGATATATTAAGGAATCAAATTTTATTCTTGAGAATGTTAAGTGGGATGATAAGAATTGTTTATTTCAGAGCATTGGGGCAACATGATTCCTCTTCCATTTCAGAGTTTGGTCCATATCCTCTGTTTCTTTAGTGCTTGTACTCCATGGTAACTTGTATTTGGCCATTCTTCTATTCTTTGCTGCCACTCCCAGAGTGTCTTGAACCCTCTGCAATAAGGAATAGAATTTTTAAAAAAAATAATAAGAAGAAGATATTCAACAGAAGTTATCACTCTCCTGCAAAGATGGTGCTAACTCAAGTCCTAGATATTGGGTTAAGGATTTGTATAGAGTCAATCTACAATTCTAGGGCATTAGAGATGACCAACTTATACAAAGGTTTGAAAGAGAGATAAAAGAAGAAAGAGGTGTAGGCATCAAAAGCCAACAAGAGAGATAAAAGAAGAAAGAGGTGTAGGCATCAAAAGCCAACAAGACTATTCAAATTTTCTTTCTAATTATTACGACTCCTCTATCTATGGAACAATTTCACTTATTACAGGTTTGGATGTTATTAAGCGCGAGATAACAGGCAAAAAATAAATTTTAGCAACCAATTTTAATAACCAAAAGTTACATTTACCCATCAGTTTAAGTACCATAACATAACAGAAATCATACCTTGAGGCAGAGGCCTTCATAAACATCACAAATGGGATATTCAGTTGGGCAGCAGTATTCTGATCCATCACAACAAACACCATTTTTATGAGGACAGCAGCTTTGAATGAAGCAAATTCCAAAGAACTCCAACTCACAGCAGCATGTTTGATCTTCTGGACAATAATACAAGTTTCCACATTCACTTGGTTTCGGAGAAGGCGGTGGAGGGGGTGGAGGGGGTGGAGAGGGAGGCGGTGGAGAAGGAGGTGGTGGAGGGGGTAGAGAGGGAGGCGGTGGAGGTGGTGGAGAAGGAGGTGGTGGAGGGGGTGGAGAGGGAGGTGGTGGAACGGCTGGAGACGGATAAGGAGATGGTGCAGAAGCCAGTTCCTTCGTTGGATAAGAAGCCAATGAATTAATGGCACAAACACCATAAGGCAAATCAGTGTTTCTTTTTATATATCCATACCCCTCCATTCCCCATGATGTACCCCACGAGTTCTTGATTATCCAATACTCATCATCTCCTTCAGAACCATATCCTACTATTAGTACTCCATGGCTTAAGTCATCTGGATTACTAGAGCAACTTCCATCGTAGATTCCCTGCATTGATCCCATAATATAAAAGAAACAAAGTTCACATCATTTTGGATTCTTGAGAGAAGAACTGAGAGAGTTATGTAAAAAAGGTGTTAAGGCATAAGAGTTACCCCTCTGTATAATTGAAAATCAGCACTCGATCCATCTATGCCCACACTAACAGGCTGTTGAGCAACAGCACAAAGAAGGGCACTTTCCTCCTGTGGAACATCTCGGTATCCATCAATTGTTACAGCCTTTTGGTTCACCTGTTGAGGAACAAAGATCAAGATTGTCTTTCAAAAAAGGATATTATTTGAAAAATGGATAGAAGACTTGATATGAAATTGATCATCATATACCTTGGTTATATTGCATGCGCCTTGAGAGACAGTGTATGGATAATCAGAATCTGAATCAATGCCACCATTGTTCATCACCCATTCAAAAGCAGGGTCCATATATCCACCGTAACAGCCCAAATTGGTTGAATTATCACAATCAATAAGTTGTTGGACAGAAAGGCTAATAAGTTCACCAGTAACTATTGCATTTATTCCCTCCATCGCTCCACATGCTGAAAATGCCCAGCAAGCTCCTGCAAATGTTTAGTAGGAATAGAACACATTACTCCACTAATGTAGATTTAAAGATCATATATCATCTGCATTGCTCCTTAATTTTATAATTGCAAAGAAAGAAATTATCATTGTAGCATTACCACTGACCTGTTACTTGAACCAATGAAGGGTCTATTTAGATTGTATGTTAGCCCAAATTTGCAGACTTAACTCACTCATTGCCTATTCGAGTAAGTTAGCCCAATTTTTCCCTTTTTGTGTTACATAAGTGCAGAAAAGGCAAATAAAATTAAAGAAATGACTGCACTCTTATGTGCAATAACCTGAGAGGGAAACAGAATTAGATCATCTGAATTTACCCTTTTGTTTCTGCCAATTGAATGTTGAGATCATTCTACTAACTGTTTATCTTTTTCTCTATCCAGATATATACTAAATAGAAATACCATTTATTTCTCATTCCTTTATGCTGTAAACTTCACAACCACCTCCAACCAATAAGCAACAAGGTATTACTACTAAAACTGCAAGGGACTTAAAGAGAAAGGGGAGCTTTTGGTAATCGACAAATTAGAAACTTCATTGCAGCCCTTGTGATTCAAGTGTTCAGGTCAACTGACTAGTAGACAGAAAAGACAGTATTTACCTATTGCTAACATGATTGATCTGAAAATTTAACAGAATATAAGCAAGCTTACCGCAGAGGTGTTGGTCCTTGACCTCAGTGACAGCCCCATATTTCCTCCAATCCCTTGAAGGAGGAGCATCACAATAAACTGGAGTTGGTTTTTTTTCCACATTCTTCATCTGAATAGTCTTTCTCTTGTCAAATGGTATCTTAATCTTTGAAGTATGAACTTGCCTGAACTCTTCATTGCTCATATCAGCAAAGTTGGTCAAACCAACCAAATGGTCTGAATCTAACTTCCTCTTTGAGTTCTTTTCTACTATATACTTCACATTCCTTCTGAACTTCTCCAGTCTCATTTCTTCCTCTTTCTCATTCTTGTAAAGTTTCTCATGCTTCTGTTTCCATTCTTGGAAAAGTTGGAAAATTCTTTCTTCTGAAAGTAACTCATTTGGTCTGTCTAATATTGGAAAATCACTAGAAACACAATAAACTTGAGATGATAAAGCAGCTAAGATCAGGAAAAGAAAAAGGAAATGATAGGTTCCTTGTGTATTTCCCATTTTCAGTAATATCAACCAATAAATGATTGTGAAGCATTTCTATTTCTATTCATATAGTTTGGAGAAGGTGACTTTTAAGGCTCATAATCAGTCAACACACACATGACAACTGTGAAGCAGTTGAATCTTGTTCAGAATGATAAATTAATATAGATTTTTTTTAAGTGATCTCTCGAGTAGGTGAGGGTATTTTAAAAGCATTTCTGGTTAATATATTTCCATGAATTGGGCTACTCACAGTTAATTCAAGTATTTATCGTTTACCCTCTTTAAGCTAGTGCTGGCAATTCATTTTCTCCAACTTGTGAGGACCCATAATTACAAGTAACTCTATTTAATAAATATTAACCGAAAATTAAAATTCTTTACATTGTCACAGTATATAACTTAAATCTATCGGCTCGAACTGAGGATCAAAATGAGTTGATTTAATTAAGAGATATTGCGCAATAGGCTGATTCCCAAAGCATGTGCTTCTGCTGCAAGATTTACAACTATAAACAAGTTTAGAGGCAACAAGATGGCGAATCTGCGATCTGCCAATTTTTTTTTTCTTTAATGATGGAAAATTCCTTTTAATTTTGAGAAAGAACAAAATATCATCCAACACAAACCCAAATGGAAATATAACGTCTTTTTCTTTTGAGACAATTATTATTCCATAGTTGATTACACATGTCTGTGTCTAGTGACTACTCTTTTCCTTTATAGAGAGGGGAAGCGAACGTGGATCCCAGTTTGACTTTCGAGATAGCATAAAAAATGTGCATTGATATTTCTCACTATTCACTCCTCAACATCAGTCATAATATTTATCAGGCCACTTATATCTTTAATAAATCATACAGAAATGACAAAATTAGACCAGAAATAAGAATATTCATAAAAGAAAATTCAGGTGTCCGTAATCTCCGAGATGATTTCGCCCAACTTCGCTGTCGATTTGAACAATGGCAAAGGCAATTATAACTGAAATAATATTGGTAACAATTATCAAAGTGGAAACTTGTGAGTTAGCAGAGTGTGAAGCTGTTGGTGGCGATGGTAGCAGTGGTGCTGCCGTGTGCTGGGATTATCGTTCGGCAATTACGAAATGCAAAGCTGAAATTTTGTCGCATCCATTGTTTGAGGCAGCGTTGTAACTTACAACTTAGTGGAGCGTGCTCAGGAGTAGAAATACCCACGAAATGGTACCAGGCCTAACAGTTGGCAAGGAATGAATAAATAATAAAAAGAAGGAAAGATACATGAATCGGAAGGAAATAAGGAAGGAGAATTGGAACGAATATAAGGCATTTATAGCAATAAGTACGTCAATTATAGATGTCCAAAATAATGGGCAATCAATATTATTAATACCCATAATTAACCCAAATTATGGAAAAAAATCGTTACTATTGTATATTCCTATATAAGGGCACAAAATTCTATTTGTAAGGACAGATTTGAAACAATATTGAAATATACACTTTACTTTTCTGCTTTCTTAAAACTCTCTACCTTGACTTTGCAATCAATTATTTCCTTTGTTATTCTTATTATATCGTTGAGAGAGTGAAGTAAAACTTGATTATTAGTAACTCGTTTTCTTCTAAAATTAGACTTTGATCAAAAGGTATATTTTTGGTTAAAAAAATTGGTTCCGTTAACGGGAATCTGATAATTTTTTCACTTTCCAAATTCACTTTTCTATCAAAATATCATATCAACTGCCAACGACAATAACCAACTGAACCAATAGAACCAACAAGGGAGGGGGGGGGGACCCCACCAATCCCTTCACCACAAGATTCTCATCGACAGTCCCGAGAGGGGACACCTCAAAGATCAACATCACATACGAATGATCAACAAAGGGACGAGCAAACTGTCGAGGACGCATTAAAACAACTAATTGCGGAACACGTCAACAACGCCCTTCAAGCTTTTGTTAGTGGATTGCCAACTGCGCCTCCAACTCCTCCTCCAAACAATACCGCACCTATAGAAAACCCATGCTCGGGACTTGCAAATTCAGGAAGCGGAGGAACTCCCAGTGCATCTCGTGATGGAAGATCAGGTACACCACATAATTCCGATTTACAAAGTTTAGTACTAACTTTGCAGAAGCAGCTCAAGGAGCAGAATGATCGCATAGAACAAATACCTGGTGTGCCTCCCGTGATTAAAGGAGTGGATATTGATAAATATTCACAACAACCCTGGAAGCCAAGTGCGGCACCTTTGCCGATTCCAAAGAAGTTTAAAATGCCTGATATTCTAAAGTATGATGGAACAACCAACTCACGAGATCATGTAACCGCGTTTACAATTGGCGTGAAAGGCAACGATTTAACCAATAAGAAATTGAGTCAGTGCTGGTAAAAAAATTTGGCGAAACACTCACGAAAGGAGCACTAACATGGTATTCTCTTTTACCAGAAAACTCTATTGATTATTTTGCTGAGCTTGTAGATTCATTTATAAAAGCACATTCGGGAGCTCAAAAAGTCGAGAAGAGGATGGAAGACATCTTCAAAATAAAATAAGGAGATACGGAGCTACTCAGGAAATTTGTGGATAGATTTCAACGTGAAAGGATGATGTTACCGCGGGTACCTGATAATTGGGCGGCCATGGCGTTTGCCAGTAACTTAAATGAAAAAAGATCAGAAGCCACGAGGAGACTCAAGGAAAGCTTACGAGAATTTCCTGCTACAACATGGAATGATGTGTACAATAGGTACAGCACAAAGCTGCGGATAGAAGAAGACACCAACACTCGGGCAAGGGGTGATGAAAGAACAAGTTCGAGTCGACCAAAAACCAAAAAAAGGCCTGTTAAGAACAGGTACGAACCTTACATGGGACCAGCAGGATGGGATTCACGCTCTAAACAAGAAAATTCAAGGTATGGTTCTAGATCAAGGGATAGAGATGCGGGTTCATCATCCAAGTTCGGTAAAGAACGAGATGCGCGAGACAGTAATGCTAATACAAATACAAAGATTGGTGAATAAAGTTTCAATATTAGCACTTCTGAGTTGGTAGCTGTTTTAAGAAGTATGGGAGATAAGGTGCAGTGGCTAAAAGAAATGAGATAGAACCCTAGCAGAAGAAATCCAGATTTATGGTGCGAGTTTCACAATGACCACGGCCATAAAATAACAGATTGCAGATTGTTACAAGGTGAAATAGAGCATTTGTTAAAACAAGGATATTTAACTGACTTGTTCAGTGAGAAAGGTAAGCAATCCTATATGAAGAATAGGCAAGAGCCTCCAAAACCTCCATCACCAAAAAGGAAGGTTAATGTGATAAGCAGAGGAGAGGAGCTCAACGGTGTGACGTATACGACTGCAAAAAAGACATCAAAAGTCACGGTTATCCATGGGAAGCGAGTTCGCCAAGTTTTGGAAGAAGACAGTATCACGTTTGATGATGCAGATGCAGATGGCGTGATAATCCCTTACAATGATGCACTGGTAATATCTTTACTTGTACATGATACTAATGTGAAACGAGTTTTGATTGATCCGGGTAGCTCCGTAAATATCATTCTTTTGAGGGTGGTAAACGAGATGCAAGCTGATGACAAGATGGTGCCCAAAGCACGTACCTTATCTGGATTCGACAATTCAAGCGTTGTTACAAAAGGGGAAATAGTGCTTACCACATTTGCAGAAGGAGTTGTCAAAGATACGAAATTCTAGGTGATATGTACGGACATGGCGTATAACATGATTCTTGGCAGGCCTTGGATTCATGATATGGATGTTGTACCATCTACTTTTCATCAAGTTATTAAGTTCCCTTCACAATGGGAGATTAGACAAATACGTGGAGATCAGCAAGCTTCTAAAAGTATCAATTCAGTTGCGGATTCGAGCATAGCTAACGATGATACAGATAAGAAATAGCAACTACAGAATTCAGTTGAGGACATAACAACACAAACCTTAACAGAAAGTGGACAAATGGACGTAGATTCAGGACCTGATTTCATTCAAGAGCCAGAAGAGAATGAAAACATCAAAACAACAATTGAAGAACTCAAGGCTATCACACTTTCCGAGCAGTGGCCAGATAGAAAAGTTTATATTGGAATGAAGCTAAGCCCAGAAATGAAAAGTAAACTTGTCAAATTTTTACAAGCTAACGCAGATTGCTTTGCTTGGTCGCATTCAGATATGATAGATATACCATCAGAGGTGATGACCCACCAGCTAAATGAAGATCCGTCGTATCCACCTGTCTAACAGAAGAAAAGGAAGCAAGGATCTTTCAAAAATCAGGTGATCCAGGATGAGGTACAAAAACTTTTAAAAATTGGGTCAATACGAGAGGTAAAATATCCTAACTGGCTAGCTAATACTGTAGTAGTACCAAAAAAGAATAGGAAATGGCAAGTTTGTGTAGATTATACTGACTTAAATAAAGCTTGTCCTAAAGACTCATTTCCTTTACCGCACATAGATCAACTAATTGATTCTACTGCAGGACATGAGTTGTTGAGTTTTTTAGATGCCTATTCAGGATATAATCAGATAAAGATGGATCCTTTAGATGAGTAAAAAACTTCCTTTATCACAAAAAGGGGGACTTATTGTTATAAAGTCATGCATTTTGGATTAAAAAATGCTGGAGCCACATACCAAAGATTGGTAACAAAAATGTTTCAAGAACACCTGGAAAAAACTATTGAAGTCTACATCGATGACATGCTAGTCAAGTCGGCACAGGCGGGGGATCATATCCAACATTTGTCAAATACTTTTCAGATTCTCCGCAAGTTCAATATGAAGTTAAATCCCGAAAAATGTGCCTTTAGCGTGGCTTCAGGTAAGTTCTTAGGTTTTCTTGTTTCTAACCGAGGTATTGAAGTAAACCCTGCACAGATCAAAGCCATTGAGGAGATACCAGACATACTCACGAGCAAAAAGGAAGTGCAGTGGTTGACAGGTAGGATAGCAGCTTTGGGAAGATTTATTTCCAAATCCTCGGAGAGAAGTTTTAAGTTCTTTTTAGTGTTGAAAAAGCAAAACCAATTTGAGTGGACTGATGAATGTCAACAAGCACTCAAAAATCTAAAAGCATACTTGTCAAATCCATCGCTACTGGCTAAACTGAAGGATGGAGAAAGGCTACTCATCTATCTCGCTGTATCAGAAATGGCGGTAA